ACCTGATCTCACAGGAGGATTATCATTTTGTGAAGTTGAAGTGTTTTTGTGCTATGTTAAGTGTCATGGTCCCTCTGCAGCGGTGCAAATGAGTCAAATGGGTGGCAAAAAAAGTGGAGGTGACGAATTTGTGTCAGGGCATCAAGAGACGACAGAGTACCTCTAAATCTGCTGTTTCTTAAAATTCACCTTTATAAGCAAAAGTGCCACTTTGGCGAATTTAAAGAGAAGCGAGGGAGATGATCTGTGCGGTTTGAGGGCACGAGGGAACCAGGTTCTCGCTGTTTTACACGCTGTTGAAAAAGACTTTGCTCGAGTCTTGTCTGCCGGAATGACTTCACTTTTACTTGATGAGAGTGAGAGAGTGTGTGTGTGTGTGTTCTCAAACCTGGCACGGAGATGAATGAAGTCTTGAAAAGGAAGGATACCTTGCCAATCCTCACTTCTGTTAGGGGCTATTTAAAGGTTAATTCTTGGGTTAATGGCTAAGATACAGACTGCATATAAAGGTCCTCAATATTTCTGAGTCATTAAATAAAGGTGCTGTGGGTGTGTGTTAGTTAAGGGAATCAGACGTATTTCCATTGTTTGTCCTTAAACAGTCTCTGCAGTCAGACACAAACACAGACATATTATGTGGACATTATATAGTAGAGGAAGAAAGGCTCTGTGCTTTGTGTGTGTGTGTGGTTCAGTGTGTGTTGTGGGGGGTTTCAGAGACAGGGAGGGGCAGAGTCGGGATCATGAGTGACTCCAGGCATCCAGCCACATCTGACTTTGATTAATTGGCCTGGCGTTCTTCTGTCTCTCTGCTGGGCAAGCTGACAGAAAGGGAGACCACAGGACAGCAAAACACCACCAGGGATGATCCGTCTCTCTCTCTCTCTCTCTTTCTCTCTCTCACTCTTTCTTTGCGTCTTTGCTGCCTGTCAGCAGGTAAAACAGACACACTCCACAGAGCTTTGCCAAGTTAGCTCAAATCACTCAAGCACACCCCAAATGACTCGCGTCGCATAGAGGAGGATACAATGCACTTCATTGTTTTCATGAGAACATCCAGAAAGAACGCTCTGTCAAAATGGAGAAGAAAAAACATGAAATTAAAGCCAGTTAAGTAAGGATCTCCTCAAGTGTCAAGGATGTTTAATCCTTGGAAGCCATAATATTTATAAAGGTATCTGTAAAACACACAAAATGTCACTTAAGTCGAATATTTCAGGATTGGCGTGTACTTTTTTGTAATTCGTCAGCTGTCAGAGCTGAACTTTTTCCTTCTAGCCCCATGTGAAGAACGATGAGCGGATACTGATACTGTTAGCTTCTAAGTGGACTTACAGGAAAAAGTCTGCAGCAGATTTATGGTGGACTGGACTGAGGTTTTTACTTTCCTGTGTTAAGATCTCTCTCAAGAAAGCGTGCAGTGCTAGCATTTAAAAAATCAGAGGCAGAGGTGCACACCTGTTGAAGGTAATACTCAGTGTTTAAAGAGAAATTTAAAATGTAAACAATCTACGATGATAAACTATCTTTCCGATCTTGAAAGCATTGACAGGTTGCTGATTAGCTCAAACCCTCCCTGGCAGCTCCCAGTGTATTAGCCTTTCAGCTCCCGACAGGGCCTACATGGTGTTAACATGCAGAAACAAGTGGCATGTACCACTGCCAAGTCTCCCTCCCCTCTCCTCTCCTCACCACCTCTCTCTCTCTCTCTGTCTCTCCCCCCTTTTCCCTCCAATCCCTTCCACCATCAGTGTTTAACCCCGCTCAATTTGCCCGTCTGGTTGAAACAATACTTGTGATCAGCGCATGTAATGGCACCTTATTAACCCCAATTACCACAATTAAAACCCTGCTGCCACTGGGCCCCTTTCAAGTCTTAATTAATCAGATGGCAGAGAAGAGGCCGTTTGGTGCCCCTCCACCACCACCACCCCCCTTTCCCCCGTACACACTGGCACACTGGCACTCACACACACCTTCTCCCCAGCCTTGACCGACCATGTGGCCTCGCTAAAAAGCAACATCTGGCGGAACAAAACGTCTCCATGCTGGCAGACAAATGCCTCCACTTTACAAATGAAAGGCAAGCCTCTCTCTTTCACTCTCTCTCTCTCTCTCTCTTTCCATCTCTGTGATGTGGGTATAATGAACGCTACAAGCCCCCTTGGCACAGTGCCTTATTGGGAGGGTTTGGAAAGCTGCCCAGTTTGTTCCTCGCTAATTGCTTAATTGATGCATTGTTTTTACTGATGATACGGATTTGCCCCCCCTCTCCTTCCCCCTCCTCCTCTTCTCCTTCCCTGCACATGGATACAGATACAAAAGGAATTACACCCTATTAGCAAGTCATGGTTCCTTTCAGCAGACTGTATTAGAGACTTAAAACCATTGTGACGGCTCCCCCTAATTGAGCACAACCACTTGATGTAACATAATGCCATGTAAATAAAACCACTTCCCCCTCCTGCTTTCATAAGCAGCCGCGAGAGACAAATGAATATCGAGCTGCTTTAGCGCTAACAAGAGACTCTTTTACGGCCATTGCAGAAATCACTTTAAGATTGCTTGGAAAGAGGTCTTTATTTGTTGGTTGGGGCATTAACTCTCATTGCCTTCATGCGGTTTTCCTCTCCGAGGCAATAACATGCAGGCTGCGTACACGCACGTGTGTCCAGCCTGGATAAATAAATTGCGTTTAGCTAGTGTTGGGAGTTTAATTAACAGGCTAAGGGTTAATGAAAGCCTCTCCTGGGAGGGCGGCTGGAGCCTTGTGGTAGTGTTGCTCAGGAGGATACACACACTCTTTAATGCATTCCTCTTTTACTCCAGACGTCGCTCTTTCCTCGAAATCTTCCAGAGTGTGGGAGTCTTGTACAACCACAGAAAAGCACGCGCACACGTACGCCGGCACCTGCGCGTCACTCGCCGCGTATTCCTACTGATGCCTGGGATAAAGAGGATGTTTTTCCCCCTCCATCCCGTGTTTGTCCCCGCCTCCGTCAGAGAGCATTCCCTCTCTGACGGCTTCCTGCCAAGAAGGGTCCATGAATCAGCCAGATGAAGGAGAGCCCAGGTCCACCGAGAGATGCCGGGAGACGCAAACACACACACAATGTGACACATGCGGTCACAAACAGAAACATCATGCGCTGAAACATACAGGTGCAGCACACAAACACACACACACGTGCACACACTTCAAGGCCTTAGAGAGAGTGAGAGAGCGCCAGAGAGAGTTGGATGTTATTTATTCATCAGTCTTCCTTGTAGTCGGGAGGCAACAAGCCCCCGGAGCTGTAAACACACAGAGACACACGGGCCTCAGTGAGCTCCAACCCTGGGAATAACAAGTGGTCCCTGCCTATGAGCATGCACACACACACATATGTGGGATGCTAGCACAAACACACACACATGCAGGGCGTCAGTGGCCTGACAGCAAAGACAAGACAACACTCTCCCCGAGTGTGTAGGAAGACAAAAGCAGACAAGACTGTGCTATAAGACAAGGCTTCACCCATATAACTGCTATGTAAACCAGTGTTACGGCAGCACAAAAGAACAGCAGACTTGATTCTAGAGCATGATAAATTGATTTTTGTACTTTCATACTTACTTTGGTTGAATATTAATTGAATCAGGCGGGCAGGATGGGATAGGAGGGAAGGACTGGCAGGGAAATAATCGGGGTCTGAAAGGGAAAAAGAGAAATGTGCTGAAGGAATGGGATCTGGCATCCCTGTGTAAAAATAGCATCCCCTGCAAACACATTTGCTATTATCTCGTTGAAGCAGCGCGGGCTGCACAACGGCCCCCCTATGGAGCCAGACGGCAGCATTTACATGAAGGCTGAACAGGAGAGGGGAAATTACAACAATTGTGACTTTCCTTTCTACAGGGTTTATTGCATTATCATAATGTGGAGAGAGAGAAGGACGGCATGTGAGGTGTGGAGTGAAGGCTTTGGTGTCTCTGTGTGGACCTTCGACTGCGGCTTTCCCTGTCTCTACTTCCATCTTTCACTTTTTTCATTCATTCTTTCATTTCATTAAAACAACTGAGACGTTTTTTTGTTTAAAAACACAAGTTATACAGGTTGAGGACAACACACTATCAACACAAACCAAAAGTCCCTTACAATGTTTGCAGGACTTCTACAACTCAGATAAAGTGACAAACTCCAGGACCCGAGGTAAACAGTTTAGTGGCGCTACAACATGCAGCAGGTTCTGTTTGACACTGAATCCTTTAAACACAGAAACCTGCATGGCCGTGACTAGTTTGTCCATTCTGTGATGCTGTGGAAACATGGTGTTGTCAGATGGCAGCTTCTGTGGAGGGAAACCAAGCAGCAACCTCTGAAATGATGCAAATTCAGAAAAGCTATAAAGTGCAGTTCTTCCCGTGTCCACTTGAGGCTGTCTGCAGAAACCAAGGACATGCTGAGTCAAATAGCCCATTTTTGGAGTAAACATAAATATGTTTACAGTCTGGTTCAAACAGCTTAAAGTTCCCAAGGCACCCAGTGTAGGAGGGGTGAATTGCATGTGTTTCAGAGAGATCAACGATACAAAATTGGCGAATCAGAGACACAGCTGACTTGACTGACTGGTAGGCACACTATGCTATTTGTGAGGAAAATGAAGACCCACCTCTGGTAGGTTTACAGTGTCTGCTGCCGATAGGCCTGAACGATATATCGTTTGACTATCGTCATCGCGATGTACGTGTGTGCGATAGTCACATCGCAGAGCCTGCGATATTGGAGGTGAATGAACTCATTTAATTTCAAGGGTAACCGACTGAGATACACTCCATGTGACTCTGCATGTGCTGTGCAGCGATCCACCAATCGCCTTCGTCCTTAACTCAGTTGCCAATCAGACTCACTTTTCAGTTGCCAATCAGACTACCCTGCCAGCTGTCAATCAAAATCAGGGAGGAGAAAACCCACCCCTGCACATGTTCTGCACATGGAGGGAGACGTGTGTCCGCTGAGAATTACTTTCGGAACTTTACTCATGACTGTTTAGCCCAACAAATAAGAACTGTATGGGTTTTAAATTGTACATTTCCGTGGACCACTCTACTATAAGCAGTGCGCATTTTGCGAGGTGCATGCAATTCTCGGAGGACATGCGTTTCTCGGCACAACACCGCTAACAACAACAACAACGATCGCAAAATGAACAACGAACAAGCGAAAACCACCGAAAAGGAAGATTTGTTGCCAAAAAGAAAAGGAAAGTCAGTTATCTGGAATTATTTCGGTTAAAAGAAGGATGATGTCGACCAAAACACGTCTTCTGTGTTCACCTGTTGCCACAATAACGTCCCAGCACAATAAAAGCTAAAAATATCTCTGAGACAGAAGCCGTTCTACTAACATTCACAAAAAGAGGTAAGATCAGAGCAGATTAACTGTCCTCAAGATTTCAGCAGTGCAGCATAACATTAAGTACTATTCAGGTCATCTGGTGAAAATACTGTATTTTTAATATCGCAATATATATCGCAGGGTTGAAAAAATCGCAATATTATTTTTTTCCAATATCGTGCAGCCTTAGCTGCCGATAGGCTTCAAAACGCCGCTTAACAAAGGGGTGACATCGCCAACGCTATGTCAAGTTATTATACACGCTTCATAAAAGGATTTTGATATTCAGGTAACTGTTCACTCATTTAAACACACTTATAAATGTAATATTCCTTCTTTGATTTAGTCTATTCTGCAAAATTCTGCTTTGAGACTTGGAGACTTTCGCTAATCTCTGCAACTCTTTCTTAAAATTTGACCATAAAACCCGTCTGAATCAAATAATTGTTTCTAACTGTAAATATATAGACTCAAGTTAGTGAATATAACAGTGCCAATATGATGAGAGAGCATTACTGTTTCTCTCTGCACACTTGGATAACATTAAAGTAACTGATTTACTGATGTGTCTTTCAAAAGCTGGACATTTGAGATGACAATAGCTTACTCAGCCAATAGAGAGCTTCCATTTAGTACAGCTGAGATATGTATCAGTTGTTTTTACCTGATGTGGTGTGTCATAGAAGAAGAACCTTCAAAACACAGAGACTGCACAATAACAGATCAGGCCTGTGTACTCCTGGAGGGACTGACTAACCTGATATTTACTGTTGTTTGTTTGTGTGACATAGAAATCAGGTCTTTATTGCAGCCTTAAAAAGTGCCTCTATTTGGAGACCATACTGTCTCTATGTTGATGAAATGATGCAGCCTTGTATGCTACTATTCTGGAGTAGTGATGAAGAATTGATCATAGGTGTGGCCGGTTTATTAAACTGTAGATTTTTACCAGACCGGATCTTGCACTGTAAGGCAGCGTGTCAACAACTCTATCAGTGTGTGAGGATCAGCAGCAGTAGGCCTGAGTTAGCAGACTAGAAAGTCTCTGTTACTCAGATCCTCGGGGACCTGCTCTAAGCAGATGTTCACTACCCCCTGAGTGTGCCTGTGTACTCTTACATACAGTATTTGTGTTTCCTTGCAACATTTATAGATGTGTATTCACGCAGAATGTGTATTTGCGCGTATGTGTGTGTTTGCATTGCGGCATTCTGTTCTGCTTTGTGATTTCTGCCACTTCAAGCACCCTCTTCTTCATCGCTCTGTGACCGAACACCTGCTGTACAGCGATCTTTTAATGAGCGATCCACCTGAGAGAGAAGAGGAATGAAGAGCAGGAGGCAGAGGAGGAGAAGGAGGAGGAGGAGGAGGGTTTCATGGCTCTTTATTTTTTCTTTAGTGGTGCCACCTGTGCGGTGTTAAGAGACGTAAAGTGTTATCCCTTTGCTGTGGCGCGCTTGGCTTTGATTAGCATCGGGATCACACGGCAAAAACTAGCAAAAGGAGGCACACAGCCAAACACCAGAGTCATCCCTCAAGGCTCACAGGAAGTTGAAAAAAAGGGGAAACAAATGGGGTCCTCCGTAGCATGCTACCTCTGTGAAGGTGCCCACTTTTTCTATTATTCTCTCTCATCTCCCCTGCCCTCCACTCGTTATTTTCACTCTGTAATAGTACTCCGAATATGTGCGGTTCTCGAGCTGCAAGTCCGCATGTTCCTCTGAATGTGTGTGTGTGTGTGTGTGTGTGTGTGTGTGTGTGTGTGTGTGAATGTGTGTGTGGGTGTTGCTCCGTCTGAGCAGCAAGGAGGTGATTTGTAGCAGGGGCCTCTAATACAATGCTCACTTCAAAAGCTCCTTCAGGAGGCCGTACACTCTCAGGCTCGGCCGCACTCCCGGCCCAAATCAGCGGGTGAGTTCCTGCTTTGCGCCGCATTAACCTACCATTTCCCTCATCCTCCTCATACATTATGTCCTTTGAATTTGTGTACCTAATTAGACCTTTGGGTTTGCTCAAGCTGCCTGTCTAATTTATTTGGCCCACATTCGCTAAGGTACATGCACTTTTTGTCCTCTTTGTGAGTTGAATAAATGCCGGGCTGTTTTGATAAAGAGCAGTTTCTTTTTTCGCCTCCACGTCTCCTCGACTGAGAGACAAGATTATTCAGTGACATAAAGAGGGTTGTTTTTTAAGCCTATACCTGTAGCTAAAATCAGCCTGATCCCCCTTTGAAATTTTTGTTTTAACTCCACGAAGCACAAAATGAAAACAAGCTTTCCTCCAGCTGCAGTTTCAGCAGTATGTCACATCTTCTCTGCATTTTATGGCAAATTTCTTTGACAGTGAAAAGACTTCAGACTGACACGTTCACTGAATGAACCCCTGGTACGCAGACGGCTGATCAAATAGGCTGATTTTATTTGTACATACACCATTAAAAGGCTCAGCGGAGATGTTTTCTCTCTTAAAGGAGGAGGAGGAGGGGTTCGCTGGTGCAATTTTTACAAACAGTCACAAGCAATTAGCTAACCGCATCAGGCTTAAGCATCGTTTATTACCAGATGAGGATTTAACCGTACACCAGAGAGGAAATATTATGAATTGTGAAATATTGATGCTGTTTGTGTAAATGCCTTTTTGCTTATGTCTCTTATAAACTGTTTATAAATTCTAATGCGAGGCTTTCGGTCTCCTGCAGTTTGGGTTTGTTAGCATTTAATGCAGAAGGGCGGGGAAGCGATGAGCAAATAAGCAAAGGGCCTGCAGAGATTGCTAATGGAGCTCTGAAGTGCAAATGAGCTTCTTCCTCTCTTGGTTCGAGATTATGTTTTTCATAATGCGCTGACATTGAATCATTGGACTTGGGAAACATGTTTATTTCAGCTAATATTAGCTCCAGTGTCAGAGCTTGGGCCAATGAAAAGACATCTCCCTTTAAAGCGGAGGTGCTAAATTAAATTAAATCTCAGTCCGCTAATTCCTTGTTGTGCCATTAGTGCTGTATAATATCACAGTGCCCCATAGCTTGCTAATGACTTGAAAACTCCGACAACAAAGTCCAGATGGAAAAAGTCAGACAACTTTGTGTCATGAGACAATTCAGAGAAAAAAAACCCTCAGCTGTCCAGCTGGCTAACACACTGTGCCCACACTGTGCAACGTTTGAATTAACAGCCTGCCCGTGTTTATATTTGGGCAAAACTTTGTTGGAACCTTTCACCTTCTCAAAGCCACTGGCACAGCTTGGCGGCCTTTTTTCCTCTCTGCTGGAACAGCTTGAGTCGAGGCCTGATTAAAAAGCACAGACATCGACTGTGTCTTCCTGGGAGGTAAGAGCTAGCTAGGAGCCCGGCCGGGGCCTCGGGGAAATAAAGATTTGGATCGGGCTGATTTGAGTAGATAGCGCGGTAATTACAGGCATCCCAGATCTCGGCGGTAGATATAGCAAACCCAGGCCCAGAGCTTATGGGAGTGTGATAAAGATAGAGTCCTGTGTATTGGCGGGCAAGTGTGGTGGTGGATGATGAAGGGAGTGGGGAGTCATTCTGTCACTGATCCACAAAATCACATGAAATAGGACCCAGGGTATGTCACCTCCCATCATTGTACCGAATAAATGTATGCCATTGGAAACAGAAGAAAGGGGTTGTTCTGTATGCATTACTAATGTGATTATCATTTCAGTATTAGCTCTTTGGCTGCTGTTATTAAAATCATATTAGCTGAGCCATTTGAAAAATATAATAATTTTACTCAGCTCTTCATTTTTTTATTCTATCTGTCCCTATTTGCATCTTTCTCTTCCACTCCTCCTTTTCTCTACCTCTCTCGCTCTCTCTTTTCTGTGCTGCTAAAAGTTAATTTATATATGGAAAGTCTGATGAAAATTATAAGGGAGAGGGTGATTATTGAAGGAGAGTAATTTCCCCCACTCTGGTGATAGACACTAATAGGACTCCATTGTTGGTAGCATTTAGCCTGTCCTGATTACCTTGTTTTTCATGGCTGCATCCCGAGTTGGGTCTCCATCTAGCCAAACCTCCAGCCCCTCCATCCCTCCTCCGAGGTGACATTTCAGACGGGGCCCTGAGGGCATTCGGGAGGGAAGGCTTCGAACGAGGTAATTGCGCCGAGGTTTCCCCTCACCAAATTAACCTCTGCTCGGAAATTTATTGGCCAGCCGCTCTCCAGAATTATTTAAACTTGCCGTTATTTCTGTGTCACCCGGAGAGGCACTCTGACTTATCCTGTTTTATTTATATATTTGTTTAATTTCTTGCCTTTTCGTCTCTTCTTAGAGGTTTGATTACATCAAGATGGCGGATGATTTAGGGGAATGACAGTGGCTGCTGATTTATTGCAGACCCAGTTTTGCTTTTGGACCATTTTCAACAGCTCACCTGTGGAAATATACATGAGGTTGCACAGTCTTGTCTGCTAGGTAAAGTAAGCGCACTCCAAAGGTCAAAGCTGGGGCACTAAACAGTACTTCTACTGTAGTTTATGAATGCTGCTTGGGAAAAGAGCCAAAGGAATTTGTCTTTTTTGCCATTTCCCTTGGCTGACTTGGCTCTCCCATTTTTTTGTCCATTTGAACCTAACTTATGACTCCAGCTTGGCCGTTGTAATAATACTGCTTATTATGACATTCCTTCATTTCCCTCCATTGCTCTGAGAATAACTTTTTTTTAAAGGGTGGCGACCTCCATGTGCAAAGTATGCAGCCTCACCTGGGCTGAGGTCTCCAGCAGTATTGACTTTCTGCCAGAAACACCAACCGGTACATTTGTTAGATTTTCATAACTTTCATTACTCCACACCTCAAGAGCTGGACCCCACAGAAGCAGTCTGTACGGTCTGAATGGATACCCTTTATGGCACATTAGAGCAACTGTGTGGAAATCAAACGTCCACAGTATTAGTATTTAAGAGGAATATTAAGGCAAGGCAAACCATTAGGAATCATGAACTCGACCCTCTCTAAACTTCCCTGACCACTGTTGTAGAGAAGATAAAGGTGAATCCTCCCTGTGTCCTCTATATGGTGTATTAAATTATCCTTGCTTCGGTTACAGGGGCTTGACTAATGTGTAAGTGTCTCTTTCCCCCATTTGTGTAACTGAAATATGTCCACCAGTTCTGAATAAACATCAATCTCTACGCCGTGTCTCTGGATGAGATGATTGGCCAGCTCGTAAAGCGGAAGACAGCTGGTGGGCTAATGTCAGCTCTGGCAGGGATGGACAGTCAGCGCGTCATGATTTACATTGCATCTGGCATTTCGGCCAACCGACGGCGGAGGGAATCAGTCAGATTTATTTGACTTTTCTTTCCTCTCTTTCCTCCTCTCCTCAGCTCTTTTCTCAGCCCGCTGACAGGCCCTCAAGTCATTCTTGTGTGTCTACACATGTAAGAGGCTCCTTTTAGGAGGGAGTTAGGAGGTTACTCTTTATTCCACCGCCCTCTCTCTTACTTATTCTATCTGTCTTTCATTGGAGCGCTGCCAATTTACCGGCACAGTCCATGAAGACGAGTGCAGAAAGAAAAGACAGGAACCAGCCCGTCTGACCAAAGCTAGTTTGTTGTCTGTGTACGCATTTCTCTATCTCCCACTTAGCCGCCAAGCACCTCACACCCTTCCCCCCCATCCCATCATCCCTTACCCCGCCAATTTGTGAATCAGCTTATGATAATGGGCCGATCATAACAGAGCAGGCCCCCCCATTGAAATGAGATCGGCTGACCTTTCAGAGAAGGCAGGAGCAGTAAAGCGCCCGTACCGTAACAAGGTCTGTTGAGTAAGCAACTTACAAGACAAGGTTACTGTCCCTGGGAAAATGTGTGAGGGAAACAGTTGAGGAAAGAGAGACTATGTGTGTGTGTGTGTGTGTGTGTGTGAGAGAGAGAGAGAGAGAGAGAGACAATGTTCTGATTGTGATTTCACAAGTCGATTAACTTCTGTAAGTGCCGTAAGTGTGTGTTGTGGACGTTCTGCTGATGCAGATGGTTTTAAGAGGACACTGATGTGCAGGAAAGAGGGGGTTGATTTGGATGATCTTTATGCTCCACATGGAGAGGCATCAATCTCAGGGTGAATGGCCCTGGTCCTTCCGCTGAAACCCTGTACTTTTTCCACTTGGGTAAGAAGGTGGAAGTGTTGTTCATTCAGCACAGCATACACTCATGTCAGGGTAAGTCATGCAGAGACTATACATTTTAACATTTGCCTTGCTATGTTTGTGCATGCAAACTTGTCCATGTGTGTCCATGTGTACCTATGAGCCTTTCAAGAGTGCAGCAGGTACTTACATTCAGACAGCCTGTGCCGTTTCCCCTCATGAGGGCCTTGGTGACAGGACCTGTAATGGAGTGGGCATCCCCAGTTTGATTGACTGTTTTGTCCAAGTGATAGACCATGAAAAAGCCGGATCCCTTTTACCCAAAATCTGACAACAAGCAAAAGCAGCTGTCGATCAATCTCTGCATGTGTACCTCATCTACCAATATTCGTGTTTGTGTCACTGTCAGCCTCTTTCCTGCGTGCAAAGCTACGGATGCGTTCATCTGCCCGCACGTTGACGCAGAAAGAGGTGAAGGGTGCGCACGATCAATCTTCATTTGGTAATTTATGAAGGCGTCTGCTTGTCAGGTATCCAGCAGCGTCTGGTACAACTCATTCTGCTGTGCTGGAGGGGGGAACCCCGGGGTATCTGCGCCTCCTGTCACCTCCCCTCCCTCCTCATCGCCTGCTCGTACGGTGCCTGCTGCCGTCAGCAGCCCAGAGGCATAGCAGAGAGAGAGTGAGAGAAAGAGAGACGGAAGAGAAGGTAAGGGAGGAAGCCGGTCGGGATTAACCCTGTGGCCACCCACGGCAGGTGCTGAGGCAGCCACGCGTCCAGCCTCATTAAGAGAAGGGAGAGAGGGCAGCGTGGCAACAAACAGGGGGAGAGACTGGAATATGCTTTCTGTACATCCTGAAAAACAAACATTCACATCCACTAAACCAGCCGCTGGCACTCGGTTGCCCCTCATTGCCTCTGCTTTCCTACTTGACTCAACAACTTGAGCATCTTCTTCTCAGATTTGTACGCATTATGTCTTCATCTCTGCAGCTCAATTCTGGTCCCAAAGATCAGGTTGGCTTGGTTTGGCAGGCTGTTATGGGATCAGGTCTTAGACGTCTTGGTGTGCATCAGGAGGATCACACTCCAGTACCCAAACCACTGTGGATGGTTGACAACTGGACCAAGTATTTAACCCCAACACCAAGGACTCTGTCGACCTATGAATGCTTGAGAGTGTGGGTTTCCAAAGTCACATTTTTGTGCACATAAAATGTGTGCCGTGTAGAAGTTTGTCTAAACGCTGACTGGGTAATTCTTGATCGTTATGAATCCCAATGTTGGTCTAAGTCCTGTTTTGTGGTCCGAGCACGTCTTTTTCTCAAGTTCACCCTTTGATGGGAAGTAGTTGCTAAATGCAGCAGTGCAAGAATCTTAGAACAGAGTCCAGTCCATTACTGGCACTTTCAACATTAGTCTTTTTACATCACCTCTACTTAACTGGAGCTTGTTAATAAGGCTGCAGAACTGCCCTCCATCATTAATCATGTAAAAATATAGGAACATGAAGAAGAAATCACTTTGATCCTGATGTGTTTCATTGGCTTGCAATTTGTCGTATTTGCTCATCTCCTCAGCCGTTTCTTAACCATTTTATCCACTGATTAAAGATTGAAATTCACTTTTAAATAAATCTTCTGAAATGAGTTTGAGCAGGACAAGAACAGCAGTGCCCCCCTGCTATCTTTTTTTGCCCCTAATTTCTGGAGATGGTCCATCCGTGTGACGACATTTGGAGTGGTGAATTATTCAAGGCACTAAGCAGCACTTTGGGCCGGTTTCCCCCAGTCGGCATCTTTGATTGGGAAAACGAGGGCTGATTTGTGAACGATAGCCCCAGGGCTGCTGGCCTTAGGCGAGCTCAGGGGGGGACACTGGCCTTGGAGCCCCTCCTGGCCCGAGGGAGGGAAGGTCCGGCCATGGCCGCCAGGCCTTCCGGTTTCTAAAAGAGAGTCCTTGCCTGTCCGCCCCTATCAGCCCTGTGTGTGGAAGTGAGGTGCGAAGCAGGAGCGGTTCCACAGAGAGTATCAGACGGATGAGGCGCTTTCTGAGCAGCGTCTCTCCCCTCAGCCAGAGCCTCCGTCTCCCGCGGCTGCCTGGGCAATTTGTCGGTCGACCTGCCAGGAGCAGAATGCAAATCCTCACCGGAGGAGATGCACAAGGGCCTTAGTGCCTGCCAGCACTGAGTGTGTGTGTGTGTGTGTGTAAGTGCGTGTGCGTGTGCGTTGCCTAGCAGTCTTTTCTATAACAGCCTAACAGGATAACTGTCATCAAGACCTCAGTGTATCATTGTGTGTGTGCGAGTGTGTGTAATGTATCATGTGGCAGCTATAGAGGAACAGTATCTTTCTCTCTCACCCTCTCTCTGTCTCTGAGCTGAGACACGACTCTCCTTCACTGCTCATCAACCCACAGCTCCTAATTTATAGACGGGCATAAAAAGTCTGTATTTTCGCTCACCCTGCCCACTTTCTGCAGAGCCCTGCATAGCACCAGCATGACAAAATAGGACACATGCTGTTAACCATGTAAAAGTTTTCTTTTTTGCCCTTTTCTTGCCCATATGTTTCAACTCTCTCCCCCCTTGTCACACAATAGAGCTTCCCAAACATCCTCTGCCTTTAAGTGATGACTGGGCTCTCATCTGGCGAATCGACTGACCCACGGCATCTGGGTCAAACTCTGGCTCTGACATGTCAGAGTTTCAAAGAAAAAAAACTCACGCACAGAAAGATAAATGGCTGAAACACTCAGATGAGCACCACGGTGCTCTCCACACAGCCCAGAGTTCAGAGAAGTTTTCAAGGACAACTCCATACACAAGATGAAAGTGATCTTCTGGGCTCTCATCTCATCTTCAGCGCTCATATCCAAATACCACCTGGCTCATTCTGTGCTGTCAGCACTTTTTATCTCAAAAAATTAATACTTCTTTTTTTTCCCTGGTCAGATAGGGGTACTTTATTCGTCGTAGGTTGCCCGGAGTCCTGCGCATCTTCGGAATGTGAAAGATTTGAAGGCACGGATAAAAGGCACTTTTCTAATCAACACTTTTTTCCTTAAGCACTTCTTTCTTTTTAAAAGCTGTTTTTCATTATTTATAAGTGTTCTGAAGGTGCTACTGAGCTGATTTCTTTCACAAGGCCTGATATGAGGCCGATGGAGCTTGCAGAATTGATTAGATAAGCTTGGAAATTACAATGTTGAGCACGCAGCGCTCTGAAATGTGCTCTAAAATACACCCCGACGTGAATATTAATACCCAGGGCTTATAAGCATATATTTGAATGCATGGGGGAAGTTTGTCCATGAAGTTTCATGAACTGTCCAGCATGCATTGCCATATTTTACTGATCAAATAAAATATTACTCCTTTCTGACCTTCATTGGATTTATAGTGACTGGTGGGTAATCTCAATTTCATCATTAGTAGTTGAACATTCAGAGCTAATCTCCGTTTTATTGAATAATTCTGAAAGATGTTAATCAAACATACGAAAGCATATTTGAAATATTTAACCAAACGATATTAATGAAGATCAAAGGGTGGGCTGTTTTTAGCGGATGTTATGCGAAAGGCCTGGGTAATAGCTGGGTCCATAGGAGCACATGAAACACTTTGTCTTCTGCTAAATATTTCATGCCTGCTACCTGTTGTACTCGGCTTAATGAGCTACGGGGGAAAAAAGGTGATTTATCATGTAAAGTTTTCAAAGGAAATGCAAATTCACACACACACACACACATACAGAAACACACATTCCTTGCAATTTCCTCATACACATTTTTTCCTCCAGTAGCGTAGCTGTAGCCACGCCGCATTTTCCAGGGTGAATATTTTAGCCCCGAAGAAAAGCAAACTGAAGTGAGAGCAAGAATCAGGGGTCAATGGTGTGTCTTTAAAGAAACTTTCCCTCTCTTCGCCTCTCTGCTCTGTTCCCCCCTCGAATATTAATATCAGCGAGGGAGAGCCAGATGGGGGGTGACAGAAACACTGTGGACATACAGTACTCGTCAGGAAGAGAGCCCGGCTCCAGGCAGATACTTGTTAACGCTCACCCATTAATAAAATTTATCCTCTTGTTCTCCTTGAGCTTGAATCCTTTCAGTAGGATGACTCCAAACTGTATCCGAGAAAATGCTTTCTGTTTTTTTAGCTATATTTTTTGTTTAATGACGTTTTTCACAGTACAGATGAAAGAGAATTCAGTGGTATGTAAAATAACAGTCAAAGGATGTGGATTGGCAGACAAGTATTAAGACGTGTTACTTGAGTAAAAGTAGCTATAGAAGACTTCAAGATGACTTAATCACATATGAATCCCTGAATTAAGTTTAAGTCAAGAGCTGCTGTCTGGAAATGCTCCTCAAATGTCAAAAGTAAAAGTATTCATTATGCTAAATGGCGCCTTTCAACTCTTGTACAATGCATTGAAACGGACAGATGGTACATGGATTATAATTACCATCGATGTGCTAACATGTACCACCATTTATATGTTTAACCTGCCGCAGGTTGAACTCATTTGACTGTGTTACATACTGTTGGGTTATTTAGTCAAAAAGTATGTATCTTTTTTAAGAAACTTTTTAATTGTATTTAATTAAATAAAAATATTATTTTCTTTGAAATGTTCACTGTGCAGTCTGAGAAAGCAGTTGTGTTGGATAAATGTGTTGTTCTGATGCAGGGGTGGGCAATTAATTCTTACGTGGGGCCAAATGAGAAACCTGAACTGTGTTGGAGGACCAAACCAATCGAGGGGGGGGGGGTCACACATACAGAAAAGCAAGCCCAAATAAGGACCTTGTAGTTAAAAAAAGCGCACCTGCGACTCACGAGTTTTACGAGCGACTTCTAAGCGAAACAAGCCTAAAGTCTTTTATAATACGCGGACTTGGCAACTATAAGGCGTCTGTGTAAATTTTGCCGCTGTTTAAACTTATCTTTGGTTATGAATGCAGATCTAGGATGTACACCCGTGTGTCCAAACGGAAACAAAACAACGGCCAGGTTTTCAAAATAAAAGCAACACACTTGGATAGCATGTTGATGATTTGATTGACGGACCTCACGAAGGGCCGGGCAGGGACATCCAAAGGACCACAAAATGCGCAGGTCTGTTCTAATGTCTTCATCTGGAGATTGGACTGTGAATACATTAGAAATGTTGAATTGAAGAGTGGGGAATGACACACAGCAAAGGGCTGTAGCATGTGGAGTGAGCAGCTGAACTGTTTAGCCAAAGGCTACCTTGGTGCTTATTGTTGATTTTTTTAATGGCCTTTCTGATCAAAAGCATGAATCATTGTACAAATTATGACACTACACCCAATGTTTCCTGAAATTGGCATATTAATTTTTATTCAAAGTCCAATGCACACACAGCTGCTTAAATTTTGGGCATAAAAAGTGGCGCAATGTCACCCAACAGCAGTAGGAAAGATGAGATGAAAGTGTGCGAAAACATATGAAAGTTGTTATCAAAACTTTGCGTTATTTAAAATATTGTGTCATGAACCCTTCCTGACTCAAAACAATTATCTTCTGTTGCTTCAATGTGAATATGAACTTTCTTATTTCATTATGTACAGTCTGTTGTCTTGGTTTTCTGTCCTGATTATTTTTAGTCTAGTTTGAGTCGCCAAAAAGTTAAAACATACTCATCAAAGCTCCTCGTGAAAGCATTTCATTATGGGTATGTTCTTATTCTCTTTGACTTCTTTTCGTGGGCTCAGCTCCTAATGTGCTGATGTCCAAAAGCCACCCCTGAACAGGCATGTTGGACAGACACTCAGTTCACCGCTCTCTCAGCGGCATCTTTATCTTCACAGATTTAGAGTTTAGCATCGCTACAAAAGGTATCATTAGATTTGCTTTCTAGCACATCTCCAAACTTCTAATGCAGTGTTTTTTATTGGTAGTATGCAATATATCTAGAGATTTGGCACAAAAGAGAAGTCTAATACGTGTTTAATTTTATATATATTTTTTACGTTGAAGCGGGCTGCAGCAGAAAAGTTTGGAAACTGGTCACGTAAACCAGAAAACTCAGACATTTGCAGTGGTTTCTTGTTTTTTCCAGAGCTGGACAAACTGAAAGTATGAATGCTGATCACGGCATTTTCACTCTTTTGTATCCTTGTTCTTGTTTGTCTCTTTTTCAGGGACTTTTTTATCACAAGTGCACTTGAAAAGTTGATCTCCTTTACTCTTACTGACCGGTCTAAATACAGGAGGTAAAAAAAGGAATATCCCACCAAATAACGTCTGAAAATCACTATAAAAATCAGAAAAGTGTCATGAGGAAAAAGGGGAGAAAAGCCAGAGTCTGAGCAAACATTCAGTGCCAAGCTGGTTCTGTCCAACTTTACAGTGCTGTTTACACACATTGCTCAGTAATAAAAAGAGTATTGTGGTTCAATACTCAGCCTGCAGGTATATGATGGAGAGGGAGAAGGTCGACAGGAGCAGACAGAAAAGTCGTAGCAGGTGAAAGTGTGTGAGTGTCTGTCAGGAGACGCAGTGAAAGACTCGGATCCTTCCCAGCGCTCCGCAGCAGCCGGGCCGGCAGAAGGGCACGGCAACAGTGAGAGAGTGACAATCGTCAGGTGATTAGAAAGACTCGGAGGCTAGGTAGACCTACAAAATGAATAACGGCGCACCCCAAAACGCGCCATAAGGCTCAATGGTTTGTGATTTGCAAGTTGATAAGACAAGAAGATTAATAATGCCGCATGATAATGGCTGGCTGAAGCTCAGCTGGGGAGATGGTAATGATGGGATATTGCTGTAGGAGCAGTTCACTGAGCCACAGTGGAGTGAGGGAAGACGGAGAGAGAGGGAGAGACAGACGGAGAGAGAGAGAGAGAGAGAGGGAATGGGGAAAAAAACGCTCATCCCAATTGGCCCCTTAGGATGTGAGAGTTTGAAAAATGAGAATGCAGTTATCATTTTAATTAGATTTAAGTTTTTTTTAAGTATATGTATAGTGTGTGTGTGTGTATAATTCTGCTGAAATAAGGACTTCAAAGAACATACGTATTTAGCTGTACACCATCCCACCATCACTCCTAAATGACAGTTATTGTTCTTTTTTGTGTTATGAATGCCAGGTGGGATATTTATATTACAGGAGTGTGCCTTGTGGTTGGCAGGTAAATCATCACACAGATAGCACCACACACACACACAGACACACACACATATCATAGACCTCTGTAGGCGAGGTAAAGCATCTGTAGATTTTTGCCCCTTTAGTTTTTTCAATTCTTTCCAAGAGCGAACCTGTAACTGTTAGACTTTAGCAGTGATAGTTTTTTATCAAGTATCTAGAAGTTGCCATCAGTGTCATCAACACAGTTTCCCTTTGACAAAACCCAAGTCTAATCTCTCGTGCAGTTTCTACATTTCTAATGATCTTGTTTGATTCTGACAAGCTGTTAAACGCTCTGATCTATTTCTGCGGTTTCTTGCTGTTACATCTTCGCTGCTGTTGACTTGTGTGTTTACACCTCAGACAAACATTCTGTCAGATCCCAATTCATCTTAATTGCACCACTTTGTCAGCGTCTGTTGATGATCTTTTAGCGTACCTTCACTCAGCATTTCGCCGCTTGTCTCTTTGTTTCAGATACTACAATCCCTGGAAGCACTTAGATGCTGATCAAACTGCTTTTTCATCTTTAAGGAAACTCGTGATTGCCCAATTAGTTTTGAAGCCGAGCCGCTTAGAGTTTTTTTTTTTTTGCACATGCCCAAAATGTTGTCACACCAACTGTTGGCCCTGAACAAACTTCCTAGCATGAGGCTTAGGGTGACTGTACATCCGATTTTAACTGGAAATGTCCTCTTTTTTGAGGGCTGTCTGGCCTTGTCCAGCTTTGTCCAGGGGAGTTTATAAAAACCTTCAAATATCCGGGGTTTTGTACGGAAGTTTTGAACACGTGTCGCGTAGACTTACTGAGTTAGAAGCGCGTAAAAAACTATTAACTAAGCGTGACTACGCCCCCGTGTAGTCGTGCCCTCTTTTTGGGGATTTAGAATATGGTCACCCTAATGAAGGTTCTCCAAACACACCAAAACCTTTCTATCAGTTTGTTGATATTTGAAAGATTCGTACTCACATGGTTTTGTCGATCAATCAGAACGGTTTTTGAACCTGGAGAAAGCCAATTTGAACAGTTTCCAACCAAACGGTTGAGCATCATTGGCAGAATGGCATTTGAGCTGTTTGAGGTCGTTGCTGCTCCAAATGATCCCCAAATGTCCACTAATGAGTCAATAATGGTCATTAAGAGCTAATTAACACAGCAGAGCAGCCAGTGTGGAAACTGTGAGTGGAGCACCGTTTCCTGTAATGCCTGGGAAAGTCAGAGATTACACCATCAAGCCAAGTGTAGGAGGCCTATTTGTGCAAGTAATCATGCTGATGAGTGACAAGTTAACTACCTGATAAGTTGTGTTCTGAGGATCAGCTGGGCTAACAGATGTTGTTATTGATAGCAGTCCCTAGGAATAGCCGTGGCAGCTCATTACAGAGCGGGTTAACAGCAGATCTGTCCTTAAAATGCAGCATATGCTGCTCTGATGTTTGTCACAGATTCACATCACAGATGGAATTAAACACTTTGTTACTGAGTGAGTTTTGACTCTGTAAAAGATGTTTTTATTACTGTCAATCAAGTGTTTTTCCAGAGAAGTGACCGTCTGTTTCTTCATCTCTGAAGGTTAGGATGCAGTAGAGAACAAAAAAAAAGAAATGTCAAAGGGCCCCTTTAAGATCCTTTTTTCCCACAAGAAACACGCAGCAGATTGATAAGATCATAAACTTGTCAGCATTCTCCTTTCTATTTCTATCCAGATCTCAACTCAGGCAAGTTTTAATTAGACAGCAGTTCGTAATGAGTCTTTAATAAGTTTCACCGTCTCTAAGTCTTCACCCACTGTCTGTATAATAGATGTGTTGGATTCCCGTGATGCTAGCGATCACCCTGACAGGGGCGTTGTTTGTCCAAAGTGGGATTGACACCCAGTCAGAGCCGCAGCGGTCACCTCCTCTTGTCATCGACATGACACAAAGCAGAATGAGACACATTAGAGACACGCAGCCACAAACACGTGCAGCGCCCCTTTAAACGCCCAAGATGATGTTCTTGAACGCCCCCCCCTCCCTCCTTCTCTGGCTTCCTGGATGTCGGTGCGGTAAGCAGCGATAACTGATGACAAGTGGGGAGATGTGACAGTGTCAATAACCGTAATCATCCCTGGGCAGGAAATAATGAAGCATATGTGCCATGTCAGCCCTACATGCCTTCAATATCCTCTAATAAAATGAAGAGGAGAAAAATTTCATCCAGAGGAAAAAAAAAACAACAATCAATAAGGCCATCTAATGATAAATACGGAATTGCCATGTGGAGTGAATATTATTTTCCCTCTCTGAGGATGCTGGGCAGATTATTAGGATGAAGGGGAGAAGCCTATTTGTATGTAAATGGGAGATTGATTATATTTATTTGCTGGCAGAGGGGCTCCAAAGAGCTGCCTCTGACACACACACACATTCACACACACGCTCACACTCACACGCAGAAAGAAGAGTGAGAGACATCCATAGAGAGGGTGGTCATCAGACAGCTGTTTTTCTGTCTGTTCTCCATCCAGGCCCTCATGACAGAGGAAAGAAATAATAGAGAAAAGACAGAGAGAGAGAGAGGGAGAAAGAGAGAGAGAGATCAGTCTTCAGGCTGCCAGCTCCAGCAGGGCTCACCTCTCCAGAATATTCTAATTACCAGCC